TCGAGGGACTTAATGTGATTTAAAATTAAGTGTTTTGGTTTTTGGAGACATTATTTAAAAGCTGTGTTATTACCATAATCTGTTCTAGTGCAGGTATAGAAAGTATTTATAATATTTAGTTACTCTTGTATTTTTGCGATTTTGCATATAATTAAATCCGGTAGAAAAAAAAAGAATTACATAATACACAAAAGACAGAAAACCGTCCGTCAGCCATTCAAGTATACAGTACCGTTACTTTCACTCTGACGTCAGAGCTTTCATTCTGACGTCATTAAGACATTTCACTGCAGCATTTTTTACGCTTCTGTATTTTAGTTTTTAATCTCTTTTTTTTTCACACTGCATGTGTAAATAGAAAAACAAATAAGCACAGCAAGGAGTCACAACTGAATCTAAGTAATGACAAGCAAAAACAAAAGTTCTAAAGTATGCCAATTAGAGGTCTGGTAGATTTTCTTTTAATTAGACCCTATTAAATGGTTTCTACTTCCTAAGATATAATGTGTAACATTTTTACTGTAAACAGTTAAGCCTTTTTTTTTGCAAGGTATTTATGACTTAAATGAAAAACAAAACAAAACTTAACCTTTCACTTTCTTTTAATTAGAAAATATCCAATGTTTTCATCCGTTTTAAATAATAATAATAATTTTCTTAAGCCTAAGTTTGAAACACAAACAACAACAAAAAAAGAAGAAGAAGAAGAAGGAGAAGACTTTTAGGAAGCCAAGTAAGACCAACTTTTTAAATTTGAAAATAATCTTGTTGCTGAAGTTAGTAGTCATGTGATTTACTCATCGGACTCTAACGAACGTGCCAAAAAAATGTTGCTTTGATTCTTCTTTATACAGTTATGATGATGTGAGTATGAAAACATGAAATAATCTTCAGTTAAAACGTTTTCCTAGTACTTAAATTTATTCTGAAAACTATAAAATTTCTCACTTGTAGAAAAATGACATTTCAAACTTGAAATTTTTTGGATTCATGAACAAAAGTATAGCTGTTTTTAAACAGAAATTGCTAGTTTCAGCCACTAGATGTCTTCCCATTTGTGTCAAGAAACATGCAAATATAAAGTCCATATTCCTTCGGTAAAACCGAACAAGTTTTGGAGATACGTGCCTAACTTATGTGTGCCAGCTATTTTAAAGATAATCAGGCTGTTAAAAATGTGGAAATGCTGTCACTTAAAGAAGGTTCATTCCCTCTAAAGAAAACATCTTTGAATCAGTGTGTCTCTTCCAAGATTAACTCGGTTCATATATTTTGTATTGTAAGTGGTGCATTTCTCGTAAGAATAATACCTTATCAGCCTTTAAATTAAGATGTTACTCAGAGCAATGTCTTAGTTCCAAGTTAGGTACCATTAAGCCTACGTATATTTCCTAATATTTTTAAATTATTGGTATTTTCTATATGCTTTTTTTTGTATTATGTAGAATATGATTTTATATATATGTAAAGAGAATGATTGGATTTTTTATTCTAATAGAAAAAATGCAAACACACATATAATCAATCTGTTTCTGAAATTTTCATTTAAAACAATTTTGAAATGTTTTTATTATAAACCTCAGTTCATTTTCCTAGTGAATATTACATACATTTAGGCGAGAAACTGACGAACTTTTTTGAGGAAATGTTTTAATTATTTAATCAAAGGAAATGTTTTAATTATTCAATCAAAGGAAATGTTTTAGTTATTTAATCAATGAAAATGTTTTAATTATTTAATCAAAGGAAATGTTTTAGTTATTTAATCAATGGAAATGTTTTATAATTATTTAATCAATGGAAATGTTTTAATTATTCAATCAAGGTGCTATTCTTGTTCGATCTCTAGCGGCTGTTAGCTATTAAATAAAATTTCGATTCTCTTAACTTATCTCCTGTGTTTTCGAGGTTTTATTATTAACGAAAATAATTATTCTTGAGCACTCGATCCCATTTCAGTAAACATTTTTCCAAATTAAAATTATGTTATTGCACACGATATTTCTAATTTCCCTCTATTATCGTTAAAAGACGGTTTTGAAGGATCTAGTTAAGACTTTTCAAATTGATGAATTTGTTACTTTACCTAGTAGCCTAGCGACTCCAAAAACTGTAGTTGTTGTGTAATTGTTAGCGGCTGAAGTATTTGAGGCAGACATACACACTGATTTTTCTACACGTTTATCATTAAAATCCTAAAATATTACCCAATTTAGAATGGTCCCATAAATTCAATTAGTGGCTCTAATTGTTAATACGTATTTCAAAACACTGTTAAATAAACTATACCAGACATACTTCTGCAGGGTCCCCGAAAGTGTTCTGTTTCAATGGTAAATAAAACTAAAATTAAGAGTAACAAATATCTTTATATCTTGCTTTTGAAGTTCATACATCATACTACGTTGTAGCCTACAGAGTGTATAATTCTTCTCGTGATTCATGGCATCGCGCGTTTTACCAACCTCTCGACAGTACAAATTGCAACGTTAAGCGTCCCTTATGTGACGTCATTTTAGTGTCTACTGACTGACTAACAGACAACAAACTATTGTATAGTGATGCAAGTGGTTAAAACAGGTGATACCTCCAGGCGGCCTTCTGCCCCTTTCGGGGAAACAATTTCAGATTTCCGGTAAACCTACAAGAACTCTTTTTTCTTTTTTTTCGTTTTGAATAAGCATCACAGAATTTGATCAGCTACTAGACCACACTGGCGACAGCTAAAGTCTCCCCCACCCAGAAACTCTTCGGTTTTAAAATAGTTTACCGGAATCCCATTACCTAGTGGGATCTCTAGTGTGGCTACTCCTGCAACGATTGCAATATCCGTTTGATATACAAGCGTTTTCTTGTGTCTTACAGATTCTAGTTTATTGTTATTTGAACATCTCATTGCCAGCGTTCTAATTCCTATCTAAAAGATTTGTCTGGACAAACTGTCCAATCAATAGGAAGGAAAATGTAATATCAAGCTTTCTTATTATGTATAATAAATAAGGATTTCTGCGCTGTCTGCTTATTTAAATTGCTTAGGCATAAAAATGTTTTTACAACTGATGATAAATGTTGAGTTCTAAATGGCCACAACTTTCAAATTTAAATAAATGTTTTCTTTGTTTGTTGTTAAGCGCAAAGCTACACAATGTGCTATCTGTGCTGTGCCCACCACAGGTATCGAAACACGGTTTTAGTATTTATTAGTATTTAGTATTATACCGCTGAACCGTTTGGGGGCTTCAATAAATGTTCAGGTGAGTAAGATATAAAAAAGAAGTAACATCGTAAACGAGCTAATAACTACAAGTGTTTTAATCGAATGTTCGAAGGTGACTCCAATATTCTACTGTACTTTTCAGAAACACTAAGTTACGAATCTTTTAACGACATATTTTTAGCCCATAATGACCTTATCTACTATCCTTGATCCCAAACTTACAAACATTGAAACTGAGCGACAAGTTCGTAAGGTTCTTATTTATAACTAATTATACATCCCAGGATTGTATAACCACGAAAATCCTAACCCCGCTTTTAAACTTGTAACGAATAGAACTCTATTACTCCAAATGCGAAAACTTTGTAACAAATATTTTAAACCCAAGTTTGAAAGCCATTCCAGCCAGGCTTCAAGTTAACTAATGTAAAAACGTAATCTTTCTTGTGGTGTTCATTACAACTTCAGAATCAAATCACTTATTTCTTGTCACATTAACCTAAAGTTTTTAAAATATGTAGTGATGTGTAAGATATGTACTTGTTACTTTTAAGTGTTATAAACTATGATTGATCGTGATACTAAAGTAACAAGAATAAAGGTTAAACACTGAAAAACCACGACATATTTCAAAAGTAAACATGTAGGCGTTCGTTCATGATATCAACTTGAAAATCATCCATATCCGGTTAAATCCACGTTGGATTTTACTTACTTAAAAAAAAGTTCAGTCAGAAGGGAATAATAATCTAAAATATTCTCAAACTCTGAATTATTAGCTGTCCTCCTAAAAACAAGAACACTAATTTTTAAGTGACTTTTGATCAGAAGTTTACATTCGCCAGCCTAAGCGTTACATACCATAACATATATTTTCTCATAAATGATTAGTAGAAACAGCATTTAGGTTTTAGGCTGAGGCTTTGTGTATTGAAAACCCAACCGAATTGGTGAGTTCTGGTAATGAGCGAAATGCCTTGTCGACAGTGGCATGCGGTTGAAATAGTTATACTTTCTGACACGAAACCAATATAGGGCCAAAAAGAAATACAGATATATGATAAAAAAAATTGATATTTTATTGTGATGTAATAGGGTAAAGCTACTGATGAGTCTAGCTGTTACATATCATAAGATTTGATGTTTCAAGTAACTTTGATTATATGTTTAGGACACACAAAGATCTGTTTTCTGTTATGTCATTTAAATCACATCCACTTTATTTATACATCTTTTTTTGACCACTTACAATTCAAGCTTCTTTTGTACAAGAATACGTTTTTTTTAACCAATAACGCCACATTTACATTCAGTGAACATGCACATGTATGTATTTTAAATCATGCAGAAATAGAATAAGAAATATCCATAAAAGCACAAGAAACAACTTTAATCGTAAAATAGTTTTTATCTGCACAGTTTCAGTGACAGCCTGGCTGATCGCGTTTTTTCAGCAATCATTAGATATCTGTGATTAACGTTTTTCTCACGCATGATAAACATCATGAATTGACAATCTAGGTTGTTACAACTTTCTAATTCTGTAAAAAAAAGAGAGATACATTTTCACCTTTTCAAAAACCTCTTGACAAAAAAAAAAAAAAGAAGGGCAATAGTGTTTAGGATGCTCGAATCTCCTCTTCGAAGATGTTCACCCTTTCAGCCGTGAGGGCGTCATATTTTGTTTGTTTTCTCGAATTTCGCGTAGAGCTACTCGAGGACTATCCACGTTAGCTTTGTTTGTTTGTTTTGAATTTTCACGTAAAGCTACACGAGGGCCATCTGCTCTAGCCGTCCCTAACTTAGCAATGAAAAGACTAGAGGGAAGGCAGCTAGTCAACACCACCCACCGCCAACTTTTGGGCTACTCTTTACCAACAAGTAGTGAGATTAACCGTCACATTAGCATGCCCCCCACGACTAAAATAACTAACATGTTTGAACCCGCGACCTGCAGATTGCGAATTGAGAGCCCTAACCACCAGGCCATGCCAGGTCCCGGGGTGTTGTATAATATGATGGTCAATCTCACTATTCATTGGAAAAGAGTAACACAAGAATTGGCTCTAGGTGTTGTTGTCTAGTTTCCTTTCATCTAGACAATCACTGCTAAATTAGAGATAGTTAACCATGGAGTGGCTTTGCGCGAAATTAAACAAACAAAGAGAGTAAATGTCAAAATCACATGCGCAACACAATCATAGGTGTTTAAGGTGTTAAAAATTAAAACGATTACACGTTTTACACAAATTATATTCATATTCATTAGTTGGTTAACTTTACACTTAAATGACCTCTACAGAACCTAACTAGTAAACTATGTTTAGTGCTGACTTGATTGCGACTATAAACTGGAAGTTATTAGAAAGTTTGAACAAATTCACAGATAAATTGTTGAATTATTCTGAATGATTGAAGCCTTTACATTGGATGTTTGCAGTTTTACAATTTGAACGATAGCCTATCATTAGGATGGTTAAATAAGTGATTAACTTGTTTGTTTATGGTTTTAAGCGCAAAACTATACAATAGGCAATCTTCGCTGTGCCCTCCCACTACGAGTATCGAACCCTAATTTTTAGCGATAAAGACATCAAGCTTACCGCTAAGACAATGGGGACAATAAATAAAATAGGCTTTATATTTATGGATCGTTAGATTATGAAAAATAATTATCTAAGAGATTTATAGCAAGTTTAATAATTGAAAATTTTCCAATTTGGCAAAAATGCCAAGGTTCGGAAAACTGAGTGGACGAATTTTTCTCTTGAAGGGGGCGGAGTACAACGCTCTTTGGCACTTGGCTGAGGCCAGAATGGTCGAAAGAGGACGGATCTCTTCCGACATGTACTGTCCGAGGAGCTTCTATCGGTAATTTAATTTTGATGATTTTTCCTGCTATGTAGTGCATTTTGGGAGATGAATTTAAACAACTCTGATAGTTCACTTTACACCTGTAGTATATTCCCAAAACTTGTCTAACAAGTATGTTTGTGGTATAAACAATTATAGCTACATTAAAATTTATGGGGAAAAAAAAAGGGAAAATGTGATTATATAGCTGAATAATGAAATTAAGACAATAAATAACTAATAAGCAATTCTAAATTGCCCGCAATCTGTCTATTTAAGAATCATTCTGCTGTAAAAGGACCAAGGTCCTCAACAGAAATTTTGTAGCGAAAACTGTGGATAAAAAGACCTATTTTGGTTCTAATTTTGAATCGGCTGGAGGAAAGTTACAATACGCGTGAGAACGGAAGGTTAAGACTGAATGCGGGGGATTATAAACTTTTACTCTGGAGTAAAGCGGATTGTAATAATCTTTGGTTTTAGAATCCGCTTTCTAAGTATGAGTGTTAGACCACTGCTAAAGGCAAGTTTTCTGTGGATTTCAGATAAGTGTTTCTTACCGTTGTTTGGTTCTTAAAGATTGTGAAGTGAAGTAACTTTTATGTCTCTCTGTAAATTCGAAAGTTCTAAAATACGGTGAAAGTTCAGGATACTAGTAGGAAAAGATATATGGTTGGTAAAGACTGGTTGAGAATTATATACTGGAAAGTTTGAAATAGCGCTAGAAATGTAAGGGCATCATACTCTTGGTTTTCATTAGCTATAAGCGAGAATATTTCTTAAAATATCTCTAAGTGGTGGTAATATGGTGGAGTTTTCGAAATAGGAGATTCCGAGGAGTAGAAAACGTTTGATGTTCTGAAGCATCATCACTGGTTAACAACTTCAATCTTGTATACTCTGAGTGGTTGCCAATGGTGGAGGACCTCAGCCTGGTAAATTTTGGTTGGGAGTCACTGGTTGAGGATTTCAGCTTTGTATGTTCTGAGCTGTGGTCAACAGTTGAGGACCCAAGCCTTGTACATTCTGAATAGTGACCACTGGCTGAGAACCCCCTACATTCTGAGCAGTGATCATTTGTTGAAGATCTCAGCCTTGTACATTCTGAATAGTAACCACTGGCTGAGAATCCCCTACATTCTGAGCAGTGGTAATTTGTTGAAGATCTCAGCCTTGTACATTCCGAACATTGACCACTAACCAAGAACCCCCTACATTCTGAGTAGTGGTCATTTATTGAGGATCTCAGTCTAATAGGTTCGGAATGGTAGTCAATGACTAAAGACCCCGACCTTGATCGTCCTGAATGTTGGTCAATAGTTGAGGACTCCAGTCTCTTAGGTTCTGAATGGTGGTCAAAGATTGAGGCCCACAGCCTAATATGATCAGAGGGTTGATTAACAGTTGAGGACCTCAGTCTAGGAGGTTCTAGGTGGCGATGACTGGTTGAAGACTCTAGACCAGAAGGATCTGATAAATAATGATTATTTGAATTTCCTGGGGAGGAATTAACGTTGTGGTGAATAGTTAAGGTACACAGAGTGCGAGTGTCCCTGGTATATTCAGTGACTAAAGCCCCTCTACTGGGAGAATCTGGAGGGTAAGGGTTAACTGAGTCCCGTAAACAAGTAGGTTCTGGAAGGGAATGAGAAACATAATGCGAATTTACTGATACGCCGCTCATATTTTCATGTGCAGGAATTCTCTCCACAGATGTGTAGTTGTCGCTCAGAAACTTTTTGCAGCGGTTAATCTTGCAGCATGACCATTGCCCTCTGGTGGATTCGGACCACTCTTTCTTTCCATTGTTCCACAAACTGACAGACGGGCTGCAACCGTCTTGTATTCTTATCTGAACCACAATAGGATCACAAAACGTATGTTGACAACCTGTCATTGGAATTCTGGATTCATCTGTAGTTGGACCTTGATCCAGTGTTGCATCAAACTGGCCTTGTCCTGTTTGATTTTCTCGGCAAATGAGCTCATCGCAATGTAAGTCAGTGTTTGGTTTATCTTCTTCGTGTTTCTCTTCAGCACAAAGACTTAAAGAAAAGGAAATACAGAGTTTTATTAGGTACAATTATCTAAAAAATATTTAAAATAACAACTGATACGAAGAAGTTTCCTCACATCATTTAAAATTCGTTTTAGAGACTTCAAACTTTCGACTTTCTAAGTTCTTTAGATTAAAAATATAAATATTCAACAATGAAAAATATTGATAAACTCAATATACACAGCTTTAATCTTGTAGGAATCAATTACAAACAACATGTTCAGAAAGTCAGACTGTATATTTTCAAACTGGTAAATACTTTCCCCAAATTCTGTATGTTTAATAAGGTAACGAACGCATCAACTGTGATAGAAGTTTACAGAAAATAATTGTTGTATAAATTTTAACAAATAAAATTGCCGTTCGACTGCTATTTGAATGAACAAGTTATCGTTGATTATTAAAATATTATATCCATTATCATCCAGTAAAACACAGTAAAATTATATTTAATTTCATTTTCTCAAAACTGACAAATATACTAAGAGAAGGACACCAAAGCAACAGTTCCAAATTTCTTTTGAAGTAATCACTGTAAACGAACTAAATGAATGTTCTTTTGTTTGGAGACGAACAAGTAAAAATGAACATTTTTCATTATGAAAATAATGATAATAATTCATTCTAATGTATCTATAAATAAGGCCCAGCATGGCCGGGTGGTTAGGGCGCTCGACTCGCAGTCTGCGGGTCGCGGGTTCGAATCCCCGTCACACTAAACATGCTTACCCTTTCAGCCGTGGGG